AAAAAAAAAAAAGAAATGGAATAAGTGATGCCACAAGAGAACTGACTATGAAGAACTGTACTGCAACAAACGTGAAAACCTGGAAGAAATGGACAGATACCTAGAAACACATTAACTGCCCAAATAATATCTGACGTAGAAAATCTTAACAAACCCATCACAAAAGGAGAAACTGAACAGGTCATCAAGAAAAAAAAAACTACCAGTAGTCTTTTGTATGGGCGCTCTGGTGCCTAAGGCATTTGACTGCTAATCAGAAGGCTGGCAGTTCAAATCCACCAGCCACTCCTCAGAAAGAAGGTTGGTTAATCTACTTCCATAGTGATAGCGCCTCGGAAATCCAAGGAGGGGTTGCTATGAGTTGGGTCCAACTAGATGGCAGTGAATTTGGTTTGGTTTTTGTTTAGTCTTTTGTATGGCTGAATTGTTATTTAAGCAGTACCACCCTACTGGGAAACATTTTTAATTACTTCCAATTTTTCTCCATTACAGAGTTCCACAAGAGGCTGAGAAGTAATAATAATTTTAAAAAAATTCACTGCCAGTGAGTTGATTTCGACTCATAGCGACCCCCTTTGGGTTTCTGGGGCTGTAAATCTTTCCCGAAGTAGACTGTCCAGTCTGCCTTCCCTGGAGGGCTGGTGGGCTGGAACTGCCAACCTTCTGGTTAGCAGTCAAATGCACTAAGGCACCAGAGCTCCTTAAGGAGTGATATAGACTTAAAAAAAGAAAAACAAACAAACAAAAAACACTAACTACCTTTCGACTCAGCTATAGCTGCAAAATTATTAAAAAAAAAAAAAAAGAAGAAGAAGAAAGAAAAGAAAAAGAAAAACCGCAGGCTTTTGGGTGGAAGACGGACGCCTCAGCGATTTTCCTTTACTCGTCAGACGGGATTCGCCTAACTGGGTAATTAAGGATGCAGAGGCTAGTGTCTCCTACTACGCAGGCGTGCAGAAGGTGGGTGGCGGGGACTCGGAAGCTCGTGCAAATACCGGCGTGCGCAAAAAGGAACAAAAATCAAAGAGGCGGGATTTCCTGCCCTAAAGTCTACTTTTGGCTCCACCCCTCTAGACTGCTTGTTGGTCAGATATCTTCAACCCGATTGGTCCGAGGGCCAAAGGACTGGGACTGCCCAAGGATATGCCTGCTTCCGGAGCCGCGGTAAGATCGACTAACTGTGATGCCGCTTTCAGGCATTGTTTAGGACATGCCCATGGGGCCATGAGGGGTTTTGTACAGTAACTGAAGCTGCTGAGAGTTCAACTAGAAGTTTCGAAGATGCCACCCAAAGGAAAGAGCGGTACTGGAAAAGGGGGAAAAGGTAGAGCGGCCAGAGCAACAAAGGAGAATGGGAATGTGTTAGGAGAGAGAGGAGGGAGCAGATAGGTGACCCTCAGAGTCTGGGACAAAGACTGCAGGTGGTTGTGGTCCCACGATGCTGCTAATGATTTTATCTGAGTCCCTTAGGACAAATGCTTAGAGGCTTAGAAAGGACACATGGAAGAGGGGCTACTACAGTTGGGATATGGTGCAGGGACCGTCCTGGTGGGTGGTAGAAGCTGGTGGATGCGATTACTTGGGGTTGCTATTTCAAGGATTATTGTAGTTGTAAAATTTAATCTTATCAAAAGTCAGCAATAAAAAGAAGTACACATTTATTATGTTCCTTAAAGTTCCTTTTAAAGTTTGCAGAATGTCATCCCCACCATCAGGAAAGGGTTCCTTTATCCATTGAACAGAAATATATTTGTCAGGCACAGTGCTGAGCGCCGAGTATATAAAAATAAGACACAGCTCTTGCTCTTAAGAAGCTCCAGAATGAGGAAAGTAGAAATAGTAACCAAAACCAAAAACCCACTGCCATAGAGTCGATTTCGACTCATAGTGACCCCTGTTGGGTTCCAAGGCTATAAATATTCAGGGAAGTAGATTGCCTCATCTTGTTCCCCTGGAGCAGCTGGTGGGTTTGAACCACGACCTTCTGGTTAGCAGCCAAATGCTTTACCCACTGTGCCACCAGAGCTCCTTTTTAGAAGGGACTGAGTAGGAATATTGAGAGTGGTTGAGGTTTGGAATAGCCATGGAGGATAATGGGAGAGGGATGACAGAAACATAAATAAAAGGTTTGCTCTCGGGGCTGAGAGCCAGACTGAGATTGAAGACCATGAATTTGTAGAAGGCATGATCTGTATAGTGATGATTTACCATAACAACCATGATTTATCATGCAATTGGCAGGATATAGAACTGTAAAGAGCTAGCTGTAGTCTTGAGCCAAGGTTAAGGTTTAATAGGGCAATTATAGTAGAAAGGTAGCAACACAAGGGACTTAATGGTGGGTGCCAGTGGGAATGCAGTTCAAATGATCCAGCATGAGGTCCACACTGGGAAGAGAGGGAGAAGTCTGATGATCTGGGAGAACATAGCAGGATAAAGGGACTCGGGGAAGGGGTTTCTGTGAGGTCAGAGAGCCAGTGTTACGGGAATGAAGAATGAAAGAGCTGGAAGGATAGGAGGTTGTATCCAGAGACTAGTTCTGAGTGGCACAGTTCCATTGGGTGCCCCTGGAAGCAGGTGGCCTAGAGAGAAAGGCATGGGCATTCAGGAAGAAAGTCCAGAACTGTGAGGTTAACTTGGTGGATGATTCCTCAGTGTACATGGTAAGGTCATCCAAGATGTTGGCAAGAGTGAGGATGGAGCAGAAGCCTGAAATAATGCCAGAGTTCTTGGTAAATCAGAGAGTGAGGTGGCAATCAAAAGATGACAGCATCCAGGAGGGGAAAGGATGGGATAACTGGAAGGTATCATCTTTCAAGATTGAACACACAACATCCAGAAACTTTTGAATTGGTGTGTGTTTTGCTGTCTGTATTCTCAACAACAAAAAAAAAATTAAATGAATATACAGCAAATTCAGTTAAGAGTTTAACAAAATTTTGACAGCATTTTTTCAGGCTTTTGGTAGTATTTCTGGGTTTCAGTTCAGTTGGACATTTCTTGAACACCTGTCGTGGGACAGGCACTGTACTAGGCATTAGAGATACTAAGATGTGTAAGATGGAGTCCCCTGCTTAAAACTTTTCAATGGCTCCTTGTTACCTAGAGGATGAGTTCTAACTTCCCTTAAAGGGGCCCAAAGACCCTTCATGTCCTGCTCCTTACCCATCTCTTCAGTCTCATCTTATAGTACTCACACCTCATATTTTGTTTCAGCTATACAATTTCCTATACATACCATGCTATTTTCCAGTGTCTTCTTGTGTTTTCTTTCTTTAGCTAGTCAGCTCCTATTCATCCAGCAGTGCTTCCCTGCCTGGCCAGAACGTCTCTCTCTGCTTCCACAGGCCCTTGTCTATAATTGTCTCATTGCACCAAATGCTTTCTATTTAAATGATCTCTTTATATATCTATCTTTCCCACTAGAATAGAAGTTCCCTGAAGGAGAGTGTCATACTTACTCTTCATTGTGTCTCCAGTGCCAGGCCTTTAGTAGTTACTTAGGAAATGTTTATTGAGCTGAGTACTTAATCTGACAGTAGTTTCAGAAATAGCAGCCTCTAACAGTCAGTAGGTGCCACTGGCCAAGAAGTTGACATAATAGTAAAACATAAGATGCTGCCAATGGTGATTAACCTCAATATTAATAACTTTTCTTATGAAAACATCAGTGGGCAATGTATTAGACTCCAGAAATTTGAAGATGAACATATCCTTTTGACAAATATGGGTGGTGACAAAGTTGATCTTTATTTAAAATATATTTTTAGACTTTACATATAAGACTTGTGAGTGATTAAATATGTAGTTGTAGTATTTATTAAGGAGCTCTGGTAGCATAGTGCCTAAGGCACTTGACCGCTAACCAAAAGGCTAGCGGTTCAAACCCACCAGCCACTCCTCAGAAGGAAGGTTGGGTAATCTACTTCCATAGTGATACTGCCTCGGAAACCCAAGGAGGGGTCGCTATGAGTCAGATGCGACTCGACAGCACATAACAAGCATTTATTAGAAATTTTTCAAGAGCTCAGAGATTTTCTCTGAGAAGGTAGGATTTGAATTTGGGTCCAGAAAATCTAGATTCAGCTTCTGGAGCTCTTATTCACTATTAGCACACAAGTTTATGTATCCAGTTCCCAGGATGGTTTATGTAGAGCATGAATTTCCTGTTTTAAGACAGGTGAGTCATCTTCAGGTCTGGAACTGAACTCACCCCCATGGCTCAACTTTCAGCCAAATGATAGGCCTAAAAGGTGAATAGTAACACTAGGGAAGTATACACTCCTAGAATAATCAACATACAAGATCAAAAGGGCATCATTTGCCCAGGGATAAAGCTCAGAAGGTAGGAAGGGATAAGAAAGAAGGATGAAGGGAAACGGTAAACACAGAGGAAGTAAGAAGAGTACTGTTACATTGTGGGGATTGCAATCAATGTCACAAACCAAAATGTATGAATTGTTGAGTGGAGAACCAATTTGCTCTGTGAACTTTCACTTAAATCACAACAAAAAGTTTTGTTTGCTTAGGGAAGGGAACTCACTTCGTAGGTTACTGGGAAGGGGAGGGGATAATTTCAGACTAGTTGGGGGCCGAATGCGGAGTTGGGTAAGGGGAGGGATGGTATGGAAAGAGTCTGTGACCAGCATGATAACATTGGAGAAACAGAGGACACTGAATTGTGCACATAAGAGACGACAGAGGCTAATACCAGTATTCACAATACTGCATTACCATTAACACCAAACACCAGGATACAGGATACACATAGACAACAAGATCAAATGGGGGTCAGTGAACAGGAATATACTCTAGACCAATGACAGAGTCAGCTGAGGCTAATACTAGTGATATAAAATACCCACAATCATTATTGAAGCAACAGAAGACAGGCATGTAACTATCCCTCATAGACAGCCTGACACTGTGGGAGAGCCACTGGATCTACTGACTCAGGACCATAGTATTAGGGGACACCAGACTCAATTGGCACAACAAAATACATAAAAATCTTGTTCCACAACCTACTTTATAGTGAGTAGTGACTGAGGTCTTAAAAGCTTTTGAGTGGCCATCTAAGATGCAGCTAATGGTATCCTATCATTGGAAGCAAAGAAGAGTAAAGAAAACCAAGGGCATTTGGAAACAATCAGCCCTAGGACATGATGGACCTCAAGACCAGAAGAACTAGATGGTGCCCACCCAACAATGCCAACCACTCAGGAAGTGATCAAAACTGGAGATCCTGGATAAGGTGGGAGGAAAAACAAGGAACAAAATCTAAAAACACAATAATGACCAGAACTACTGGTCAGATGGAATCTGGTGGGACCCCCAAGACTGTGGCCCTGGGATACATTTCAGGCCTGGGATAAAACTCACTCCCAAGGGCTGGCTCTCAGCCCAACAGAACACGTAACCTAGGGCGATGCATCCACCTACTCTACAGAGATACATCCCATGGAGCAGTTGGCCATGGGGCAGTAGAAGGGCAACATTCACAAGGAGGAAAAGCTGGACAGACAGGAGTACATAACTAAGAAGGACATAGGGAGAGGGGAGTTACTGGGAAGGGAGAGGAGGAGAGTGGGTTAGGGTTGGGGATGGTAACTGGGGAGTGAAACCAAATGTACATGAAAGGTTGATGTAAAATTCTCTGTAAATTTGCACCTAAAGCACAATAAAAAAAAGAAACATAAAGTGTCTTTAAGCAACCAAAGTGCATTCACCAAAAAAAAAAAGGCAAGTCACATATTAATTTAATTTGATGTAGCAAAGGGTTTAGCAAAGTTCCCTTTAAATACGTGGTGTGATGATGGGGAAGTATCAACTCCTGTTGTGAGTTATACTTTTCTATAAATAATGAGGTACAGTTTAAATGAGTACCTGTCATCTTCTCCAAAGGGGGAGCAGCCTCTGGGAATGACAATGCTGAGAAGACGACACAGGGTCCCAAAGGTGGTGGCAATGCAGTAAAGGTAAGTTGTTATTTCCTTTTTTATTCATGTTAAATATAAATTAACATAAATTGTACACATAAAAGGAGAAGACAGGCCTGCTGACACAGAGGAAGAGCGCTCAGAGCAACAGTCCCATGAAGCTTTATTTCTAATTGAAGACAACACAATATCCAGTAGTGGAATTGTTACATGACAGCACATAACACACCTGCTTGTCTGTGTACTGACTATGATCCCATGCAAGTAAGATTTTATCCTAAGGTTGTGAAAGTAAGGAGCATTTTTAAAAGCCTATGTTAAGGCAGAGTTGAGCTATACTGATAATTGCATTTGAGTCTGGAACAGTAAGTCCCTGACACAGATTGAAGTAGGTACAGGACCTCATGAGCATCACTTAAGGAGAAGGGGACCAGAGAGGTTAGGTAGATACATCCAAGCCCCTGCTGGCATACCCAACGAAGTGAGAGTCTGGACCTGTTCCAGGGAGCCATCCATATGGTACTGGGCGTGCATGATGAGGAAGATACATTGCATGGTCTTTGCTTTGCAGTGGTCCACCCTAGATGCCAGTTCTTCTCCAGAGTCTGGGTTACTTTTCCACAGGTTGACGAGAGACCGTGGTTCTCACTTGATGTTGAAATTTAAGATGGGTATGTCTTGTGACCACTGTTCATAAGTGACCTTTGAGTATTTTTGACAAGGTAGCATTTTCATATTGGGAGCAACCTTCCAGATTTTAAGAGTGTACAGGGAAGAGCCCAGGCTCTTGGCACTATTCTCAATCACCTGGTGGTGTCCCTGCCATCAGCCCAGGAGAATCTACCTGCTCAAGCACATCCTCACTCAGCCATCCCACAAACTGTCAAGCACCAGGCCTTTTCTAAGTGGTACAATAGGGAAAACAAAATTAGATAAGGTAAGCCCTTGTGCAATTTAAGTTCTAGTAAGGAGAAATGTAATAAACAGTAAAAGACAAACATGTCAGTGTCAGATAGTCATAAACTAGGTAACAGGATGGAGCATGCTGGTTCATTACTTGTGACAAATATGTCAGTATAAAATGTTAATAGAAGGAACTAAGTATGGAGTATATGAAAATTCTCTGTACTAATGTCACAATTTTTCTATAAATCTAATAAAGCTATTCTAAAAGTTTATTAAAAAATTAAAATTTTATCAACTGGGGAATGGATAACCAAACTATGGTACATACACACAATGGAATACTATGCAACGCTAAAGAATAATGTAGAATCTGCAAAACACTGCATA